ATGATAAATAACAACTGCACATCCATGTGACTGGCATTTGTCTGCATCTGACGATTTATGACTCAAACAGCACTGTTTCGGTGCTCAACATCATTCCGACAACCTTACTTTTATTTTGTGTTTCACGCAACATTGGTCGGATTGTCGATCAGAAATAGGACTTAAACGATTGATGTCATGGCCCTTTGCCAGTAGAGGCTGGTAAATACGTCATCGGTTCAAAGGGACGTAAGTGTGAGATTATATCACAGGTGGGAAAGGTTCGAATTTGGGTTGGAGGGAATCAATGATAGAAAATTTCGTTCAGAATTAAAACATGGATGGTGTGAACTTGAATCCACGTTTGGGAAATGCTTGAAAAGCTGATTAAGTTAATACTTCAGACACATTTTCGCAAACATGTTGCGATCAAAACCTGATGCTAAACTTACATGCGTCAACAGAGGTTGCTGTGTGTTTGGCAATTATTGCAATTAGCTACGGGATGAGTGACGTAAAGGTTATATCACACGTGTCTCGTGATATTTGACGTCTGAGAAGCATTAGTATGCCACAGCGGCTGAACCACCAGATAATGGGTAAATAGAGTGTTCTGTAAAAGAGCCTTTTATGTTATTTTGATCCCGTGGACACCCGTTTTAGCCATGAGCAAAATGCATAATGTACTCAATTTCGATTTTGCGATTGACCTGGTGTTACATGGTGTCTACAGATGAGTTTCCATAAAACGCGTCTAGAGCCAGCCCAGATAATTGACTGTACTTCTTGTACATTTTCATTAGCTGATTATACTGTGATACGCAACTTTAGTCATGTAAGAGAGACGTATAACGTAACATTAAACTACGTTTAACAAAAATGTACACCAACCGAGAATGGAAATGCATAATGTGACATGTAGACTTGTAGGAGTGTTGACTCAAGTCACTCACCCAATCTCAAAACTGTAGCCACGGCGTACATACATGAAGCAACGGCAGACACGTGGCAGCAACGCTTGCTCGCACATACATAATTTATTACACGCATATTATACATGGAACACTTTGGGGCACATGTGGGCACATGTTGGCCCATGTGGCACAGTCGTCAAAGGCACCACAATCAGCTGGGCACAGTTGTGTCCCTTACATTATGCGTGCCAGAAACATGATCGTGGTTTCTAATCTCGAAGATTCGGTCTGATTGTGTGTCTAGGTTTGTCAGCGAACTCATGCTTGTGAGTTTCACCAAAGTGATAAATATCTGAGACTTCAGGACTTTCTCAAACAGCAAGGTGACACGCTGTGTCAAAACTTACATACTCTTCAAAGCCGTGTTAAACCAACTAACTCACTTTACATTTACGTAAGTATATGACACATCTATGAAAGACGAAGTCAACTTCTTCAAGGAGATATCCGGAACCTGTATACAAATGCTTCAGCACTGAAGACGCCATGTGTTGGTCGAAGGCGTTAACTGTCTTAGTCTGATCTACTAGATACTTTCACCATGTGGATAGGGTCATTAGGTAAAACCATAAAACCTTCATCGTAGCATTTGTCCACATTTACCAGCTTTGAAACACACTGCATGGCAATGTATTTGACATGCTGAGGTTGATCCATTTGTTATTTATTCCAGTGATGAAAGTATTTAGTAGTCATATTCTACATATGTCTGAAACATCCTTTTTGCAAATGCTAGGCTAACTGCTGCCATATTTCAACATCGCAGGTGTGAATGCCACAATAGATTCACTCAGAAGAGTATTGTTGTCCATTTTGCCATGATGATGTATATAAGAAGATATGTAATGAAGATTATCAATGCACAATATGAAAGTTGAAACTGTAGTCTCTTAAATCAAAGAAACAAAAGACTAATAATAGTATGTAAATGCGTCATTGCTATACACGTAGTTAATAGAATTGAGTTACTTTGCAATCAAATTTCTTTTTCAAGCTTTTGTCTCTCGTAAAATTGGATACAATATCAACCTCCTCAATTACATTGCAACACACAGTAATGTGTTTGTGTCCTTGACTTTGAAACCTGCTTGGAATCTGTAGCTCTAATGTACATGCAGATGTAGATGTTTACGTCAAACCTCATGACTGTATTGATTTCCAAATGGGGAAGCAATTATTGTTTCTTTAAAGTCTTAACCGCGGCCTTTTGTGGTATGGTAACCGCATAGGGCTTGTGATATTATATGATAAACCTTTAACATTAAAGTCCATCGATTCTATCCCAACTTTCAAGGAAATCTCAAACAACCTAGGAACATTGTGTTATATATTTAGTACAGAAAAGCCCTGATGTGGAGGCCGTTTTGTAAGCAGCTTGCTAGTGCAATGTCAGTTTGTCTCCTGTGTAGATTTTACATCAAGTCGTTGCAGATTTGCAAGCCACTGCATTAGTAGCCTGCTGTTTATCATTTTAGACTGGCTTAATTGATCGCCTATTGATTCCTGTTTTCGTTTGCGTATTTGGATCTTTTTGGCGAGGAAGTAAACTGATAAATCACAATAAATGTGTTCCATATTAAGGGTCTCTTGATCGTTGAATCCGGTAGTGATTGTCGAAGATAACCATCTCCTCTGTAGCCAAAATGGCATCGGTGTAGGTTGTGGTGTGTGAGTGTCAGAGCGTTTGAAGTTTGAGGCTACTTTAAACGCCGTATATCAAGATGATACGTCGCATTACGTGAGCAGAAAACAACATCGATCATGATATTATTACAGCCCCCGACCGTATTATTCCTAAATCTCGTCATGAATGAAATATACTACAAACCTTTGTTGGATAATTTACACATTGTTTGAAGAAATCGTGACTAATGAGTATAATACACTCTTCAAAAAATAAAACGCGCAGGTAGCATGTAGTTCATTTAACCTGACTACACAAAAAATCCGGTATATACATTGAATATGTTATTGGAAAATATTAATATTCGACAAACGGTGCGTCAAAACGTAGCCATTGTCGATTTGGAATGTCTTAAACGGCATTGTTTTCACACTTATTCAAAAATGTCATGGAGAAAAAATGTTAAGCAAAATGCACGTGCCAGTTATGGCATTTGTAACTCGTGGTAGTGGCTATAAAAAGGCAAGCATATGTCAATAATTTGTCATTCAATTGTCAACATTTTTTAAGTTCGAAATTGCCCAGACTCAGCGCTGCCGATCGGAACATCGCCATAGGACGTATCCAAAGAGGGGAATCGCAGTCCTCTGTTGCACGCCACTTCAACGTCAACCACAGCACCATTTGCCGTCTTTGTGACCGATACACACAGTTCAATTCCACTGCAGACCGTCCAAAACCCGGGCGACCAAGAGTTACCACCCCTGCACAGGACCGCTACATTCGACTGCTCCACCTACGTCATCGCAATGCCACAGCTACGGAGACTGCAGAACGCATCCCTGGTTTGAGGAGGATATCGGACCAGACTGTCAGGAACCATCTTCGCGAGGCAAAAATCCGACCCAGAAGACCAGTTATTGTCCCTGTTTTGCAACAGATACATCGACAGCGATCCTTGCGTTGGTGCCACACCTTACAGCCTTGGACTTTGAGAAACTGGAGACGAGTGTGCTTTAATTAGCGATGAATTACGATTTCTTCTTCACCGGCGAGATGGAAGACAACGTGTTTATCGTCGTCGAATTCGTACACTTATCCAGTGTGCCGAGGAGATGCAGAGCCGTCATTGCTGCCCGGGGCGGTCACACGAGATACTGAGTTCTGCGCAACCTTGTGGCATCATGTGACATGACAATGAACAGTTTTCAGTGCCATTGTACAACGACAAACAACATATGACTATCGAGCTCCAAAATGCCATATTTGTATCTATGAAATAAAATTAAATATATCGACTTTATTAGGTACAATACATTTACTAAAAATCTATATGTGCCTTTCTTTTTTTGAAGAGTGTATGTTTTACTCAGATGGATTCAATTTCAAAACCGGTCCTCAGTTAGATTCGTACAACTGCCTCACTGAAAAGACTATTGATGAGGCCATGGGAAAGCAGTCTTTCAAAGTAAAAATACTGTTTTTTCTTACATGATTCACTGAACTGTTTGTCGAGCATATCGATTCCATGATGCCATTACTGTAATGTTCATTAGTGTCGGAATATGTTTCAAACGATGATTCTCTTTTATTCTCTTGCGATTCTTATCGATTCAGTGAAACTCGTTTATCTTTCTTTGATTCTTTAGGACCTGATGTTTCAAAGATGACCTTAAATGCTATTAATCATGTATGGGACTTTGATTCAAAGGGACCTTTGTTACATTTTATTATTTATTTATTTGTTTAATGATGATAATAATATATAATGGTATGCTGATGATGATATGACCGTCTGAACGTTCGACGCGTGCGAAATTGTAGGATCTAGATATATCCTAATATAATTTGAAGTATTTAAACGTATACTTGATACAATATATCCGTAATATGGGTATAAGGTATTCATGATGATCATTGGTTTTACGAACTAGAACTAATAAATTGTATGTCTAATGCGAAATATTCTGTAAGCATTACTTGATAAGCTTTCAATATCTGTCAGAGGATATATTTCAAATTTGTTCAATGGTCAGTCAAGGTAGTGGAGGGTCAGTATTTCGATCCCACTGTATAAAACACGTTATAACCCTGCTTTACTCTCAGCACTAAGGGGACAAACAGGGACTGGCCGTCTCTGGGTATTTTATGTTTGAGTCAGGTATCATTTAGTATATCAGTGGGTAGCACCATAAAACCGGCAAAGTCTGGCCAAGTACCAGTAGCCCGTCACACACATGCATGCTAGCCGTTTTATGATTGCAATAATCTTGAACGAGACTAAAACCCAAATGTCGTCCAACCCTTTAACAAATTTGTGCATCATTCCATGTCTCCTCACTTTTGACCCAAATTTATACATGTCTTGTTTCCTTATATATGCTGACAACTATCATGATAATACAACAATATGTTTCCTTCAGGTGTCCTGGGATCAAGGGGAAGATAACCCAAATGTCAGGATGAACGAGGACCCCGCTTCCGCAGACAACGATGGGGCTATGGACGGCGTAAATGCGTCATATCTATATCTGCTCCAGCACGAAGTCAACATGGCCGCCATGACGACCCGAGTCCTGCGTGACAACGGAAGTACAGATCCCGGAAGTGACAACATTACCCAACTCATCATGACAACAATGGCAACAGCGCCGACTTTTGACGAAGTCAGCATGACAAAGACAATTGTGTATTGGGCTATGTTTGTCATGTCCTTCGTCGGAAATGTGGCCACATTGATTCAGATGTACCGAATGAGACGACGAAAGTCAACAATCAATACATTAATAGTGAACCTTGCGATAGCGGATTTATTTGTGACGTTTTTCTGCATCGCGGGGGAGGCTGTTTGGGCGGCAACTGTACAATGGTATGCGGGTAATGTGATGTGCAAGTTTGTTAAATACATGCAGGTGTTTGGGCTCTACCTCTCCACCTATATAACCGTGGCTATAGGCCTTGACAGGTGTGTGGCCATCCTGGATCCTATGAGAAGGAACGGGGCAACCGTCAGAGTAAGGGTGATGATTCTCCTCGCATGGATATTCAGTGCCTTATTCAGCGTGCCTCAGGTAAGAGCATAGTGAATGACTGAATTTTATCTATTACAACACCGGCTTGTTATATGTTATGAACCGAAGGGGTTTATTTTATGGAAGAAAATAAATCGTCCCATGAACTGCTTGAAAAACATTATTCTTCTTCAGACTGTTTGGAAACAAAGAAACAAAAATACAACATTGTTGCACGTTGCTTTAAAGATATATATTAGGCTAGTAGCTTTAAGAAAAAATATCTGCTTTAGCAGATAAAGCTGAACAAATATTTAGTCTCCATACAAAATCCAGCCGAGATTATACCAACTCGTACCTGTTCCATATGAATAGTAAGCTACAGATTTGAAATATTATGATTGCACATAGAGGGTGTTTCCCCATCAAATCAGAAGCTAGTTTCTTGTGCAATGATGACTTTAAAGAGCACATTTGTAGTACGTTAAATATAGAATTTGAATGAAGTTCAAATAAGTTGTTTGTTTATGTCTCCAATTGAAATTTGCATATCGTCCAGAACTGTCCGAAGACATATGTCCATAATCATGAGGTGGCAGAAATCAGCTAACATGGTTATAGTTGAAACTGGTGCACGGTGACAAAGACAAAACAAAAGAGGATTATTTTATACCCGGACTTTATCGAGGACTCTATATTATTGCGAAAAACGCTGTTATCTACGCCCCCTGTTGGCTGTTGACTAATCAAATCTAAGCACGATATTCCATTGCTGGATCAAATTCAGGGTTTGCTGCGGGTTGTCAAGGCGGATTGTCAAGCATAAACTGAAGAGCAAAAAAAACTACACCTTTCACTTCATTTCATCATATGTTTGATTTTCAGATGGAAGTATATTAAGTTGGTAATATTATATCCAAGACATGAACTTCCTGGCGCTCGGTCAGCACTCAAAGTATACTTCTCCATGGTTATATTGATTGTCATGAGTTACTGTCAAATAGAAATAATCAAATTAAACAACAGTTCTTTAAATTTTCAATATAATAAAAACTTGGCATACTTTCTTGTGCCCTTCACTGTTTTAATAATACGTTCTGTTTATGTGGCATTACCCCCACCTCCATTCGTAATTAGTTAGAAAAGAACCCACTTGACCCAAATTGCCGTATGCATATTGATTATGCATAATTCATTACAGGAAGTGATGTAAAGCGCGACAATACGATCGATTATTAATTAACTATCGTGATAACAACGCGGACCATGCTAATTGAGACCTAATCACTCAGGCATGACCACAAGAGTGAAACGAAAATGGACATTCTATTTCGGACGTTCAGTGAAACATACTTTTAGTCAATTATACTTGGAAAAACTATAAACTACGCTGTTCGTACATTCTTGGTTTTGATCATTAATATTTATGAATACATTGCTGTATACTAATATTATGTTTTGTATAACATGAAAAACCTTGAGTGAAATATAATAATGTGTCTGCACATTTCTTAGCGTCCGTTATCAAAAAGAACAAAACACTTCCCTACTGTCTGTAGAATGTACGTCAGTGCCGCTTTTATCAACGTAAACATGTTATCTAATAACGACGCTAACACCTAGCAGTAAACAGTGTTACACTGTCTCTTATTAAATTATCAATGCAACGACAAGGGGAGGAAAGAGGAGTTTCAACACAACACATCTGGTCTTGAAAGTGTTCGTCTAATCACTACATTTCGTTCATATAAACCTTTCTACTCAGTTTATAACAGCTGTCTGAAGGCAACCAGGAACTAGTTCACCTTCAGGAATCTTTTGCTCGCGCATGTGACAACTCCCAGGATGACCAGAAAGTACAAGCTCTAGTGCGCCAAAGGCATTCGCTCTCTGAAACTCAATCACATTTTCTAACCGCGAAATTAACCGTCTCTGTTGTAGGTTTTCGCTGCCAATAACATGCCAAACCATCTTGTTTGCGCTTTATCCTACCACGCTTGTGGCATTCACCTCTCAAGAAACTTACGAGTATGTTAAACATGAAGAAAACATTTGTCGTTTTAAGTCTTCTGGCATTATAACTATTGCCTTGCATTTTACATTACGTTATACTATTGGTGAATGTTTAGACAAACGTTCCTCGTCTCAATGGCGAGAAGATTCTATTTGTGTCTTGCTTTTCTTGTTGCCACAAAAAAATGAAATTTAGAAATGCCCTTCTATTTTCATCCATTGTGGCTTGTACTTTTCACACAGCTGCAAGATTGCAAGGCCTTGCAAAAGGGGACGGAATAAAGATTGAAACATTGCTCAGCTTGAGATTGAGTTACCTAATATGTCTTAAGTCCATATCTTCGATTAAACAATACAAAAGTGTTTGTCATAATCCTTATTCTACCATAAATGGGGAAATTACTCGAATCTAATTGGTTAATCAGAGATACCAAAGCACAACAACTACCTCTGATAAAACCAGCCGATTTGACGTCCGCATCACCTCTTAAGCCAATATTCATAGAAAAGTTCATTGTGCAAGAACATTTAAGGTAAGCGTCACAGTGGCAATACCTGTTGGGCAGAAAACACGACATGATTCGACCAAGAGAGTGTATTTTAGGAACCACAGAGAGCTTGGCTCTTTTAAATATAGCCGACTGTGAAGTAATATTTTCTGCGTCACAATGAGCGATGGGACGTCATTATAGTGAGGTGGGGAACTAACCATTGCCAGGTTTGTTTGATTTTCTCTTGCGTGGCCAAGTCAACTTGGCCTACGATGTTGCCGTGCTACACATTTTGAATGCTGGTACGTTGTTTGAGCATATATGTCACCAAACTTTGCTTAATGGCTATTATCGATGTTTCCTTATCATTGGTCATTGGACTCAACCCTTGACGCTACCAGTCAGCTACCACCAAAGAGTTTGAGCTTAACTTTTTCATAGAAATGACAAACGATACTGTGTCTTCAATGCCGAGCAAGTTTACCTGTAGATTTAACGCTCTCGACTTAAGACTTTCTGTTCAATTTGGCGTGTTATATATATATATATATATATATATATATATTATATATATATATATATATATATATATATATATATATATATATATATATATATATATATATATATATATTTAATACGGAGGTACATTACCTATATATATATAAGGGTAACGTACCTCCACATTAAAAACACAATATCTTTCCTTCTAATTAACTACTGATAGTTACTGATGAATTGTAACAGTACTATCAACCTTTGAATTTACCTTGAAACCTTAAGACATGTCAATACCTCTTTCTTATTGGATTCTAAGGGTCCATCCTAACCCGTGCAAATGAGATTAATTTAATGCTGGCTTCAGCAAATGAATCAACAAATTCTTGTCTTAGACATTAACGTTACTCCTTTTTCTGTCGAGGAGGGATTTGAGTGGAAATTAATAATTTATGGATTTTGCAATCCCAGAAACGAACCAAAATTTAAGTCATTATCATCCGAAATTTGGGGATTGGACATTTAGGCATGAAGTAGGCTTCCCAACGACACCAACTGTGCTCCCCTCCTTGCTCTCTCTGCCCCCCCCCCCCCCCCCCCCCCCCCCCCCCCTCTTTTTTTAGGTATGCATATGAATCGGACCTTTTGCTGGTATTAGCAACATCAAAACACAGGAGCTTCAACAACAAAAATAACCTTTATGAACATCGCTAGTCTCAGGTTCAATAATGATAAAAAGGCCAATGCCATGCAATAGATTTATCCACCTGAACGGGAAAAAGAACCCAGTGAGAACGCCTCCTCTGTTTCACATTTAGACCTGTGCATAAACATTCATTAAACTGACAACCAACTATTCACTATTCACGACAAGTCGGTATGACAAGAGGGATGAGTTCTGCTTTCCAATAGTCTGCTTTTCCTTTATGTCGAGCAATATAATAACTCCAGGACGGGTGTGACGAGTTACTGCGGTGGGGCAGGAAAAGCTAACCATTTGGCGAATACCTGGTTTCATATCCTTATTATACACTCGAAATCGCAAAATAGACTTTGCTTGAAGCAGAGAATTCTTTTGTGTAAGGAGGTGTCATGTCTGGTTTATTTTTTTATGTACCGGAATCGTGCAAGTGGCTGCCAACCGTTCATATTGCGCAAGTGCCCCCTGTGCACATCGAAACTACATTTTATTTTAAAATATTGGATCGTCCTTAGAATACATGGCGCCACGCTTTTACAAATCGTTTCACCGGAGTTACAAGTAATTGCTGATACATGCTTCCTTTACCATTTTCAAATGGTTTAACAAACGCCACCATAATTGAATAAGAGGTTTGCAGAATAATATTGTAAGTGTAGTTTCATCCAACAATGTAATTCATTACACACAAAATGAATACCATAATATACATAAGATTCAGCACCGCCGAAAACCCTTAGCCGTATCACAAGACTTGTGGTTTGATGAGTTGATAGCACGGTTTTTCTCTATTTTCATCAAGCAAATGGGGATGCGGAAGCTTCTTTTTACGATAAAGGGCAAACGCGTAGTTAAAACCTATTCAAAGGTTTTGTCTCTTGAACAATCAATAATGGATGTGACCGGACACAACATTTGCCAGTACCACATATTTTTTTTATCGAAGTGAGGAGACTAAATAACCCCCTTTCCTCTACGGTTTTTTGTTTGTTGTTTAACGATGCACGCAGCAATATTCAAGCTATATGACGGCGGTCTGTAAATAATCGAGCCTGGACAAGACAATCCAGTGATTGACATCATGAGCATCGATCCACGCAATTGGAGTCGATGACATGCATCAACGAAGTCAGCGAGCCTGACCACCCGATCCCGTTAGTCGCCTCTTACGACAAACATAGTCACCTTTTACAGCAAGTATGGGTTGCTGAAGACCTTTTCTACCCCTGATCTTCACGGGTCTCCTCTATGGTAAGAACCTTAAGGTATTTCAAATATGTGAACAATTTTCACTGACTGGTAGATCGGCGATATAAAGGGACGCTGATAAATGCACGAACTGCTATGTTCAACTTGTG